ATCTGCTATGCTACACAGGCTTTGTATTCCCCACCACACCATTAACTATAACTGTGTTACATATTTTACAGGCCATACAAGTATTTAGTAATGTTGTATACAGCAGACGAACCGTGCTCTGACATCGCCCTCTACTGCCTTTTTTATTTTGTTTTATGGCACTTGATATATGGTTGTTGAATGGCACATTTATGAGTAAAAACATCCCACACGCACAATACACTGCAGACCTTGGCGGACAGAGTGGAGTGTATATCTCTTGGAAAGGTTCTCTGTAAAAGACCATTACAATGAATGTGGTGATTTTAGGTAATAAGAAATGCATTAAGATGATGGGAGTAAATAGTAATGAACGCCTGGAGGCATATTTAATGCACTAATGTTCCCTCCTTCAGTTGTGTACTCTAATAAACTACTCTGTCGATAATCATTAACACATCACATTTTACAATCTCTTAATATGTCGTCAATACTATTCATATAAAACAGCAAAACTGAGAAGAACATTTGCAGTTTCTAAACCCCTTTTGTCCATGTACATCTCTTGAGTGGTTCCATTGCTCACATTTTAATAAGAGAAAGTGTGAAAAGCAACTCCTTAATAGCTGACATTTATTAAAAACGTGACAATCTGAGTAGATCCCAGTGCTTTAGAGAGAAAACATGACTGATGAATACCAGATTAAAGCTGTCTCTTCATTTGTATGTGCCCACAGCACATGGGGAAAGGACTATACAGACTGCAAAAGTGCTCATGTGAAGTGCCTTCATACCTTACAATACTTGTCCGACCTTTGCACCATCAATTTGTTATCTACTTCCCCTTACATGTGAATCGATGGCCTCGCACCATACAGGTTAACTGTCTTCAGTCGAATCTCTGGGCTGCTGTTGTGAGATTTATAACCTTGTAAATGTCAACCTCAATTTTGGACGCAACAAAGCAAGAAAAGCTCCAAAGGATGACACAATGAGGGCTGAAGAGGCCCCCAGAAGTCTCTTTGTCTTTCACTGAAAAGGCTTGGGTTTAAGTATTGATGCTGATAGATCCATTGCTCAAAATTGACCCCTTGGTGACCTCTGTGCTGACGGTGGAGAGGGGCACGCTCTCGTACCTCTCGGTCACCCCCCAGCAGCGACAGCGCAGTAGGGTGGACTTGAGCTGTTTCTGGAAATTGCTGTTGAGGAAACCGTAGATGATGGGGTTGACGCAGGTGGAGGCCATGGCCGTGAGGTGGCAGAAAGAGAAAACGACGTCATGGCCACAGGACGGGAGGGCCTCGTGGTTCCAGTCGAACACCGTGTTGAAGATATTGAGCGGGAGCCAGGAGACGGCGAACGCCACCACGATGGCGATTAACATGGCGTTGATCCTCGTGGCCCCTTTGTTTTTCTTTTGGGTGGTGTTCCTGCCGCGCTCCACCATGTCCTTCCTCCTCCTGAGGCGCAGGTAGACGTGCATGTAGCAGAGCATGACGAGGGTGAGAGGGAGGAAGTACTGGAAGATGAGCAGGGAGGTGGTGTAAGCTCGCCGCTTCTGAACGGATGGCCACCGCTCCATGCACACAAGCTGGTCGCTGACTGGGAAAGGCATGCTGAGGTTCTGGAAAGGCGCCATGAGGACGTTGTACGAGAGGAAAGGCACAGAGATTAGGCACGCCACGGTCCAGGTGACAGCCACCGCCAGGTAGGACTGCCCCACCATGGGCTTCCATCCAGTCGGGTGGACAATGAGCTGGTAGCGCTCCATGGCGATGAGGACGAGGGAGAAGATGGACACAGTGATGGATATACACTGGATGAAGGGCGTGAGCTTACAGAGGAGGTCCCCTAAGATCCAGTGGTCCATCAGGGTGTAGATAATGGTGACCGGCAGGCACACAATGCACATGAGGATGTCAGAACAGGAGAGGTTGGCGATGAAGACGTTGGTGACGTTTCGCATCTCCTTGTGCCGTGTGATTACAAACACCAGGCAAGAGTTCCCAATGAGACCTACCGCCATTACCGTGCTGTAAGCGATGATGAGGAAGGTGGTGCCACTCACTGAGAGGGAGCAGTCCTCTGTGAAATCCCACGGTATCTCCTTCCACAAGGCTTGGTTGTGGTTGGTGTTGTGCTGGAGCTCCATGGTGAATTTCCTGGGCTCACTTCAAAGGTTGTGGACTAATCAAATTAATTTATTGTGTCACACCTGCTGTAATTACTTCATGAATATCATTTGCATTCTTTTACAGCTTTCCCCCCATCCTTAATTCTCCCCAGTGTATGGACCAGCCTTCATTTGCTGCCTGAAAAACAGAAAGAAAATGAAATGAATAATAAATAAATGTCAAGTCATGAACGTTTTTTTATAAAGTTATGAACTCTTAAGATATATAGAGATTGGTGTATCACTCAAATTGAAATGTAGCTGCTGTAAAAACTGCAGCATGAAAAGAAATGGACCCCTGCTGAAAAAGCTAATTTCATCAGAGACTGTTCCTTCTTTTAAATGAGAATATGTGCCAAAAACGAATTCTAAATACAAGACGGGGCTTTAAATCACAGTGCCTCTGCATGTAATTCAACAAGTGTTTTTGATGTGTTAAGTGTTCCAGTTTCACCTTAGCACACGCTGCCAGTGATTTATTAAAGCCTAACAAAAAACAGAGACTTAGGAGAGGAATATTTGATGTTGTTATGCAGATATCATGAGGTAAATGTTCTATCTCCTCAAGGACATAAGAAGAAATGATGCGCTATAATGACATGGTAATTTCAATCTCCATCACAATGCATAATGATGACTGCTCCTTTAGAGACCATGAGTACCTCTCGCTGTTTTATCCCCTTTTGACAGTGGGAATTTATTCAGTTTTTGTCCATAAAGGAACATACACCTCTCATTGTCGCTGAGCATTCACAATAGATTCCCAGGCGCTAAAGCACATTTAGTTCTCCCAATCTTGATGAATTAATGTACTGGAAAGAAAGCAAAACAGAAATTCAATTTTGTGGCACCAAGAACATCTTACTAGTGTGTGTGGACGTGCACATATTCATGTGTCTGGATGTGTGTGTACAGCAGTGAAAATAGCACTGATTAACCAAACAGTTTGGCCCAAGGCTCATTCCTCAGATAATAGTTTTGCATCACCTATGTTCTAACAGAATGAAATCTACAGGATTTAAAAGGACCATAGAGGACTCCTAATGAAGACGTGGACAGATAGGATGGTTTTTGCTTGTGGCTGTCTCCATGATGAGCAGAAATGTTGTATTTTAATGTGTTCATGTGTGGTGTTCTCAAAGAAAGACAGAATAATCATAACAAAAAGTAAACCCTTGTACCTGGAGCTAAGTGCGGTAAAACCACTTGAATTTATTCAGTGGTTCACACTCTTCTCTGTCAAGGCGTCTGGATAATTAATCCTCCCCCTTGATGTCAACCCGAAACCTGGCTGGATTTCTGGATATGTGGCGCGGTATCATGCTGCAGCCTTGATGCTGATTATTTATGGCAGAACTTGGACACTTAAAGTGATGTATTGCTGTGTGTTGTGTCTGCTGGAAAATGGCAGTCCGAGGGATGTTAGAAGTACATTTACTGAGGTAACTCATAAAGACATGGTCTGCATAAAAAATACATATACTATTTGAAAGCAAAACCAGAAAAAGAAACAAGAGTTCATGGGAATCTATCTAAAAATAGTGATTACAGCTGAGCGATTATTACAAATTATAATTGTTGTCTCTCCGTGGAATCCTATTGCAATTAACTTATATATATGTATATATATATATATATATATATATATATATATATATATATATATATATATATATATATATATATATATACATACATATCAATACATTAATATTATGATACACAATACAATTGTCTAAATTGATTGAAGAATGACATATTGACTCAGCAAATCAGATCAAACTAAGTTAAATAAATCTATTGTCTTATTTGTATTACTCTGTATGTTTCGCATGCATGTAACATATTAGGAGATATGTTTATATAATTTCACTTGAAACTTTAACATTTTTTTGCACTCAAGTTAATCATACAACTATAAGAAATAATTTTCATTTGTCATGTATTTTGTTCACACAGGAGAATTTGAAACCGGTTTTCCATGTGTTGTATAATATAGATTATTTATTTATTATCATGCCGGCAAACAAGCTATGTCGTGCTGTATCGAGATATGAAATACAAGATGTGGCAATTTAGCTCAGCCCTAATGTGGATGTTTTGTAAATATGTATTTATATATTATCCTTCACATTTCAGTCCCCTCACTAAAGCACTTTGACACAGGTCGTGCAGGAATGATATACGCATCATGTACCTGGAGGAGAAACGCATGAAGGGATGAAAAGTGTCAGAATGGTTACTGTACCCTGTGTGTCTGCAGCTGTCCTGTACCCACTGTCTGCCTCTCTGTCTGTCTGCAGCTGTCTGTGTGTCTTCAGCCCCGGACAGGTGGAGGAGACCCCCACTCAGAGCCGGGGGGGCACCCGTCACTAATTTCTACCTGAACCTCCACTAAACACCTCTAACACTTTCTTTTAATTGAGCACTCCAATAACCAAGAACAACAAACTATAAACCCCACCAACAAAAGGAATAATTACAAATACCCGCGTCAACGATAAGGTTGTAAAAACTCGCTATGCACAACGTAAAGAACCCATGCATACATATTTTTGAATATTTATCATTTTAAGCTTTGTCGTAGCATGTCATAAAAGAAAAACGACCCTATAGAAAAACGTAATTTCTTACTTTTAGGTTACCCTCCAACACAAAGAGTTGCATGCTGTGCTGTAGAACGGAATAACGTGTTTTAATTAGCCGTCAAATGTCTTACCGAGGAGGGGTCTCTTCTCGGGCTGCCCGCGCTGCTTCGCATCAGGTGAGACACAACAAGAGTTTTTGGTCGAGCAGAAGGTAGGAGGCGTCCTGTCGAAACTGAGATATCTCGTAAAGCGACCTTATGCCTCAGACTCCGGCAGGAGATGTGATTGGGAACATGTTACATAATAAATTCTCGGTGGCTCGCACGCACGTCCGCACGCATGCACTGCACACGCGCGCTCAGGCACGCGCCCTTAGAGGGGCCAGTGGGGGTATTGAGTTGTTTGAAATGTGTACAGTATTCATGATCTGTCTCATTATTAGGTCTGTTGTAAAAAGGCATGCTAAGCCTTCCCATGTTGATGCGAGTTTCATTCATCACCAAAGAGAAATCGCTGTAATATCACAGTAATAAAAGGTTTAAAATGGCCATAATGATTGCTATATAATGTCTATAGCTTATACATCATGCATGTAACATATATCATATTGGGTTACTCTTTCCAAATGGGGGACATTTTTAAATCAAGTCTATAAAGTAAAATATGGAGTCAGTTGTGGATAAACAGAGACAATGCTGTCTAGAGAAATGTAGACAGATTTTGTAAAGTTTTCACACTCTGCGAGGCTCTGTGGGTGCAAAGCTCCTGTGAGTGTGTTTGCTGAAGGAGACAAAACTAAATGTCAATTATACAGAGCACGTACATCATGTTATTTTCCTATTCCATTGAACCGTGTTACCCAAAACACATTGCATACATAAATGTTTAAAAAAACAACAACAAATCTGAAGCAAGACTTTCATGATGAGTATTGATGGATGCTCATTGATGTTTATTGATGTGTGCATGTATTCTAGTAAAGGCCATGCACTGACTTTTCTACCCCTTATAAAGATCATTAAACATGTCAATGTGTAATCCAATAAATTCAATAGCCAAAAATAACCACACAAGTTCTCTGCATCTGCATAATACTTTGACGCCCAAACCAACTCATCTCACGATTAGAAAACATGTCTTGATCCCTCCGCAGATAACACCTCGAACTATTTTTAACCCGTTCTTTGCACCTCTCTTTCTTCTGCAACAGATTGTTAACTGCTTCTTCACACTGTCCCCACACAGTCCTACTTCCATTGGAGGCTGTAAATGAGAAAACTGTAATAGCTGTAATAGAGGAACGGTGAAATGCCTCGCCACCAGCAACAACGACTCTGTTGGTGTTGGATTTACACAGAGGCACGGGTGTCAAGTCACTCAAGACGATTAATCTATGCAAATCATTATCAGAGGAAAGCAGGAATGCTGAAAAATAAGTGTACAGCACAGCAGGACATCCATTCAATATATCGAGGCATTGAATGGCTGCACCTCACCCCTTGTGCAATCTCAACTGCTGTCACTCACATTTTCCTTTTTCTTTCAGGAAGGGAGGAAAACATTTCTTAGGTTAAGTCCTAAATGTCCAGACAATTGAGCGCTATTGTGACATGAAATGGTTGTTTTTTGTGTTTTTGACAGTATGTCCACCAATTTATTTCTAATTGATAGGTGGCAAGTTGATGGCCGCACAATCAAGTTCGGCCAGAGGAGGTTGTGCAAGATGGTAAGAATGAATATCTCTCATGGAAAGTAGGGGAACATCTTTCTAAGCGAATGTCACAGAGCTCAGGAGCATAAAGAAACAGAAAGCAGATACCTTTTAATCATTTTTTTATGATAAGGGCAAACAAGAACAGATGACATGTTCCAAACATTTGTCTTAATATCATTTCACTGTCACATGAAATATTTAATAGCTCTTTGATCGCTTATTTTATTTGGTAAAGTCTATCAACTGTTTAGACTCCTATCCTGTGTCCATTTATACAGTAGGCTACATAATGTCCCTTGATTAAAAAATATGTCCATATTTGGATTCAGAGAGAGACTCTTATTACATCAGGCATTTGTAAGTGGCTCTTGTGGGAAAATTGTTAATAGCTGTATGCGTCATTGCCAGTGTAAATCAATACAGTATCATGCCCTATTAAGAAGGAATTGTTCCCCTGCTGTAGCTCCGCATATCCATGTTAATAGTGTTTGGGGAGTAGTTGCTCCTCTGTATTCTTAAGGCCATAGTCGCTGTTTGGGTGATTTATTTGTGTTGGGAAAAAACTCTCACTTTAACAGACCTTTAATATCCTGTGCTGTGCAGTGAAGCTGTGAAATAGATTTCAACGCCAGCCAGCCGAAACAAAGTAACAAATGGCTTCTCTCTTAAACTTCACACTTTGTTCAGTCATGTTTTGAAGGGGGTATACAAGATAAAGAAAGAAAGAAAGAAAGAAATAACCTGGTTGAATAGAATACTTTATGCTTATAGGGACCTATGTTGTGGATCCATGCTTTAGTCATAGGCTCAGGATGTTTTAATACCCTATGGAAAAAAGTGACAAATAAATCGTGATTCCTTATTTGATTGTGGATTTGTTTGGTTTGTTTGCCAGCAAGATTACGGACAAACTACTGGCACATTGTTTCATGCAACTTGGTGGGAGTATGTAGCATGAGCCAAGGAGAAACCTATTTAAAAAGCTGATCCACAATAAAGGGGCAGAAGCACCTATTATTTTCTATTACAGAAACGACCTTGTCAGAGCTCTGCAACCACCGAGTGCGAGCACGTTTTTAATGGGATCATCATGTTAGTTATATTGTGAACTGAATAAACCTATAGGACAATCTGGATAAGGATGAAATAAATACACAAAAAATAGAGGCTCCCGTGCTGAACATGCAAATACATGCTCCTCCTTGCACCTAGTTGTAGTTGGTAGAATGTTTTACCTATATAAGTTCAGTGCTGATAGTTCCTAATAAATAAGATATGTCTTACTGAAACAGTATTAATACATATTGGCATATGAGGCCAAAGGAGTGGTGACAATGTTACACAAATTAATGTAGAAAATCACTACTTCCTTCATATTTTCTACATGATGTCATGTAAAACAGATGTGCAGTACATGTGGATAATTATTGATTGATACACAGGGTATATTGATAGTGACAATGTTGCAAATATTAACACAGGGTGCCACATTAAAATGTAAATTTCACATGTTGTTGCTGTATAATTAGGTCAAGGTCTGTCATGGATTACTTCCTGTTTATAGCTCACCTAAAGTATAAAGAGAAGAGAATGATAAGATTTACAGCCACTAGCATTAACGCCATGGATATGTTTCTCTGTGCCAACACTTTATATTGCAAGTCATAAATTAGTTTGTATCCTTATATCAGGCAGTGATAAGGATCCGTACCCATGAATGTGTGCAGACTGACTGAAGCCGACAGCAACATAATTGATGCATCAATTATTACCAGTATATAGTGTGGTGGTGTGTCAATGTGTACCTTTTGAGAATGACAAATGTTGACAATTTCTTTAAATTGCAATATTTAGTTGTGATATGAGATGTGAATATATGAATAATTTATTATTTTTGTGTGATGTGTGTTACATGCATGTATTATGTTAGATATAATTGATGACACACATACACAAACACACACACATGAATACTGACTGTATTAACACTGTTGTGCTGATATTCTTTACTATTTATTATTGTTTTCACTTTTTATTTTAATATGCCTGTGTGTGACTCTTTTATATTTGTCTTTAATCTGCACTTTCCCCAGTAAATCTTCCCACAGTGGGACAAATAAAAGATTTCTGATTGAAGAAAGAAAGAAAGAAAGAAAGAAAGAAAGAGTCATTAATCCAAAACAGGAAAGAGTGAATATCAAAAATAACTAACATGTCAAATGTACCCTTTTTTTAATAATACTTTTGATCAGTCCTCTCTTCACACCCCTCATATAAGCAGCACAATTATTCCAGGATGTTCATGGTTTGAAGCTAACAACAAATAGTCTGACAATGGCTGAGGTCTAATTCAGCCTTCAAAATCAAAACAACACGAAACACAAAAAACGTATTGATCATGTCACTTGACTGTTCCTTCGACCCCTCTCTCCTTACAACCCAAAATCCATATGCATTGTGTACAGGGTGCTTCTCATTGAGCGAAGGACAATCTTCCCGACGGTTCTGCAGCTACTTACATGATCCAAGTTGAAGTGATCCTTGACTCCATCACTTCAACAGAGTCCTATAAATCCCCTGAGGCTTTAAATAACCCGAGTCAAGAACAAATGCCACGATGCCTCTGGTGCTCCTGGATGACTAACAACCCCCATCAGTTGAGCAGATCCCATCTGACACAGACGCTCACCTTGATGCTCCTCTGTGTAAATAGGACTTAAGGAACAGCTGGTAATATTGCGCAAGTATTACAGACACACTACTCAGGCTTCATACAGTCACACTTAAGGGGTTCTTCACAGGGAAGAACCCACAGATATGTTTTTCCTTATCTCTGCAGAGAAAGACTAATACGCCTCGTGGGTTAATCTGCTCCTTCCTGCCCAGTATATTAGGTTTTTACTTGTTATGTTTGTGCATTTTTACATTGTGCATAACAATAAATTAAGCTAAACTCCCAGCTTCTTAATTTATTATTTGGATATTTTATCATATTTCACTCTGTGCAATTAGCACATTTTAAACTCACATCATAACTCTTTGTATTTAAATAAAACAAAGAAAACTGCAACACACTTTACTGATGTATATATTATTCAAGGTTTTTATTTTAGTTGTAGTCATTTGGTATGTTATAGTGTATTATACAAATATTTATTTAGTTAAAGGTAGGGTAGGTAATTTTGGAGAAACCAGCTCGAGATCGCTAGAATTTGAAAATACACAGCCGGAAAAAATCTGCCACTTCCTTACAGAGCCCCTCCTCCAACACACACGAACGCGCACATGACCAATGAGGGCACGAGATAAGTTTGTGCACAGATGGAAGGCTGACTGGCAGGTAGGCCATCCAGTTATTTTAGCCGGGCCGGCTAAAATGATTGGTCGTACTTTTTACAGCACTACGGCTTCCACAGATGACATTTTTTTATGGATTTTTTGTCAAAGCACTTAAGATATTCATTTCTATCGGGATGTTAAGAGCATTCCATGGAATATAACAAAAAGTGTATCTCGAGCCGGTTTCTCAAACTTACCTACCCCACC